TCTTTGTGTCTTTGTGAGTATTAAACAAAATATACTACAAGGAGGTCCAGTCGAACCTGTACCTTGGTTTCAGTCTTGAGTGACATGAATTTCTTCCCCGTTGACACGTAGAGTTAGATCTCTAACAACCAACTTTTGGTAGGTTTTTGTCTGATCTTTGATAGCTTTGCTATAGAAGAGCGAATGGAAGAGTGTGCCTAGGTTTGGCTGGGATAATCCCCTGAGACAACATGAGAATTTAGATAAAAAAGAATGGACGAAAAAAGTGAGCTGGTGACGTAGCAAGCACAGTGGCTGTACTCACATCCTGTAATAAAAGACAACCAACAAAAGTTAATGATAAGCACGCAGAAAATAAAGAAACTTAAGAATCGAAACATGAAGTAAGATGAGTAAGGTTTCAGATGCATCACAAATCTTCACTCTTCAGGAATCTCAGGATGCTTTTAGGATATGAACAGGCTTGTTTCTCTCATGAATCCGATGATGTTCAGTGAATCTGAACCTCTTAGAAATATGACTTCGTAAAGTTTCAAAAATATGCCTTTTATATGTACTATCAACAATGTTTACGTCTTCTAGTAGACAACTTTAAAGTATCCAAGGCTAAGTATACTGTTTCCTTTCGTAGATTCGTTGTCATTCTGTATCCTTACACGGTTACATGCATCGGTTCACCTAAAAAGTGTGCCCACTACTTCCGTTAGTTACTACTCTTTGACCACTTCCCATATGGTTATCTCAGTCAGTTTTCGCATAAGATGCAAACTTTTATTATGATTATTATTATTGTTATTATTATTATTATTAGTCCCTTGGGTTCCTAGTGGAACATAGGGCTTCACTAACAAGTCTCCACTCTACTCTGCTCTCTGAAATCTTTTCAACCTGGCTCCACGACAACCCAGAAGCTCTCATTTCCTCCTCGCACGATCTCCTCCATGTCACCCTCACCTCGGATGCCAAACTCGTTGCTTCCCATGGGGGTTCCGCTGGAGTAACTGGCCTGACGCGTGATGTCCCCAGTCGGCCTTCTCAGTGTATGCCCAATACAACCTATCTCCACTTTCTTTCCAGTGCATATTTGTTCAGCGATAGCTTCTTGCTTCGTTGGTTCGTTCCCAGAGCTCCTTGTTGCTTATTCTTTCTGGCAATCCATCTGATCTTCAGTAGCGAGCGTAAGCAGTTGTTGATGAATGTCTGTAGTTTATTGGAAACCCCTTTCGTAATGCGCCAAGTCTATGAACCATACAGGAGCACTGATTTGACGTTGGTGTTGAAAATCCGGATGTTGTTCCACATGCTGAGTGGAGTGCAGAAGATCTCCACACTGGTTTCAGGATAATGCAGGAAGGCCTGTCTTGCTTTTCCGATTCTGACTTTGACATCCTCGTCTGTGCCGCCACCTATAGTTGAAACAGTGCTGCCTAGATAGGTGAAGGAGGTTACTTCCTTTAAGTTTCTCCCATTGATGGTGATTGGAATTTGCTGTTGTTGTTGTTGTTGTTGTTGTTGGTGGTGGTGGTGGTGGTGGTGGTGCGGTATCTTCATCACCTCTGTCTTCTCTATATTCACTTGAAGTCCCGTCTTCGCTGCATTGCCTCTTCTGCCAACTTGTTAGTTTTCGCCTGTAGATCATCAAGTTTATGTGACATCAGACACAAGTCATCATTGGCGAAATCCAGATCTTCTAGGTTCTTTTCCACCATCCAGCCGGCGTATCCCCCTCTTCTCACAGCTCCCCACCGTTTGCTGCATGATCCAGTCCAGTCGACCACAATCAGGAATATCATGGGGGATAGTAGGCAACCTTATTTCACTCCTGTCTTCACTTCAAAAGTATCCCTGATCTTCCCATTGTGAATTACTTGGAATGTGGCATCTTCATATAGTTGTTGAATGAGGCGGATAAAGGTTTGCGGTACTCCGTAGTAACGAAGCAGTTTACAAATTACTTCTCGGTCGACACTGTCAAAGGCCTTCTCAAAGTCGATAAAGTTGAGGTAGAGAGCTGATTACCATTCTATGCTCTGTTCTATGATGATGCGTGGTGTAGTGTTGCAATTTGGTCTGCACATGATTTGTACTTCCTGAAGCCTGCCACTTCCGGTCGTAGTTTTGAATCCAGCACATCGTTTAGTCTCTCCAGGATGATGCGGCATAATATTTTGCTTGCTTTAGGTGGACAGGAGAGTGATTCCGTGTCAGTTCTTGCAAACACTGAGGTCTCCCTTCTTCGGGAGTTTGACAAGGTAACCCTTCTTCCAATCACTAGCCAGGTACCTTCTCTTCCTTCCACACCTTCTGCAATAGTGGTGTGGTGTGAGCATGTCCGCTGTTGTCTCTGCGTCTGTTCTCAGTGCTTCTGGCGGGATCCCACCTGGTCCTGTTGCTTTCCCGCATTTCAGTAGCTTTATGGCGTTCAGGACTTCCATTTTTGTTGGAGGATTTATGTTCACTTGTAGTTCAGTGGCTGCAGGTGGTATTTCTGGACGAAGTGCAGGTGGTGGTGGTGGTCGATTCAAGAGCTTCTTGAAGTGGTCGGCCCATCGTTTCCTTTGTTTCTCTTCTTCCGTAATTAAATTTCCGTCATCATCTTTTATTGGTTTCATCTGTGTTGATCTCTTCCCTTCCAGATAGCAACCTGGTTATTTGATACAATGTCGTCAGGTCTCTCTTACCTGCAACCTGTTCTGCTTCACTTGCCAGTGTTTCGCAGAAGTGTCTTTTGTCTTTGCGTGCACTCTTCTTCACTTCTTTGTCCAGTGTAGTGTTTTATACATTGTACTCAGTTCCTCTTGTCGTTGTGCATCCTTGCACTGCACTGGTTTATCTTCTGCTTCACCATCCTCCTCTCCTCTATCAGCTTCCATGTATCCGTCGATATCCATTCCTTATCTTCTTTCTTCTTCCTTCCTAATACGGCTGTGCAGGTTTCTTTCCACATAGCTTTCAAAGACTTCCAGTGTCCTTCAACACAGGTTTCTTCAGGGATGTTCCTCGATATCTCCCATTTTGTCTTCATGGCTGCCTTGAAGACCTCCTTTGTAGTTTCATCCTTCAGTTTCCGAGTGTTGTACTTGAACTGTGTTCTATCACCAGCTTCCTTGAAGGCTTTTAACTTGATTTGGAAGGTTTTTTCCTTGCACTAGATTGTGAGTGGTGTGAACCTACATCTGCTCCCCTTACTGACTTTGTGTCAAGTAGACTGCGTCTCCATTTTCTTGAGATTGAGATAAAGTCGATCTGATTATTTTTTTAGTGTGTCCTGGTGTCTGGTGAAATCCATGTCGCTGCTTTGTGGATATCCTTGTGCTCGAACACACTGACTCCAATCACCAAATCGTTGAATGCGCAGAAATCTTCAAACAGTTCTCCATTCTCGTTCATCACCTCACCGAACGCTTCTCGACCCATGGTTAGTTCTCTTCCTGTGTTTTCTGCTCCCAGTTTGGCATTCATGTCACCCATTATTTTGAATTTTGATATCGCCAACTTGAGTGGTGTCTTGTCCAGTGTTGATTGCAGTTGTCTGAAGAATTCTTCCTTTTCCTCTTGCCCTGCATTATTTGTAGGTGCTTTTTGTAACATTGTATGATTGTGACCTTCCTTCCTTTTGAGTTGAATCTTGCTGCCAGGATCCTTTTGGAGGAGATTGGTTCCCACTGCATGAGAGCCTTCGATGCTGTTGGGGACATCATGATAGCCACTCCATAACTCAGTGTGCTGATGGTTTTTTTGTCGTCTTGGTGACAGTATTGGAGTAGATTATTGATTCTCCAGTTGACAGTTTGGAGAGTCCACTCCCATTCCATCTGCTTTCGCAAATTCCTAGTACTTCAATGCGACACCTTCTCATCTCGTTTGCAATCTGGGCTGCCTTGCTGGGTTCAAACATGGTGTGGACATTCCATGTCCCCACGTTTACTTTCGCTTTCATCGAGAGAGAGAGAAGACATATCGGCCAGCTGGCCTCCCGAAGGCTTTCACCAAGTGGCCCCATTTCGCCTCTCCAATTCCAGCGAAGAATAAGTTTGTTTTCATTTTTTATATTTTGTTTGTGCTTTGAAGTTTCTTTAGTGGTTAGATTTGTTTTACGGGGTAGGGTTGCTAGCCCTATGCCCAACCTTCCCTCTTTACCCGGGCTTAGGACCGGCTAGTAATCAGTGAACTAGTTAACCAGGCTTACAAATTTCAATTTCTAAGGTACATTTAACAGGATACAAGTGTTAAGTCATTAGACTAGCTGATGCCTTGAAGACGTTTTACTCCCACTGAATGATTTATGTCACTTTTTAAATTATCTCCAGTAATGGTTTACTCTCTACTCACCAGAAATTGTTTAATATTTTGTGTTATTTTTAGAAGCACCAGGTTTAAAAGATCCTGTTATCATTGACTCTATTCAGGAAAGAATTCAGTGTGCTTTAGAAGAATATGATAAGTATCATTATTCACATTATCAGCCATTTCGATTTGGTCGTCTACTGTTACGATTGCCCAGATTAAAACAAACAGTGTACTCACCATCTTCTTTACTATGGTTACAACATAGCTTCTTCCCATCTCTTGATTATAGTCACAAAGGACTTGAGGCGCTTGTGAAGGAGATATTCGCAAATGCCTCTTCATTTCAAGCACTCCACTCAAACAAATGTAATCCAATCTTCGGACAAAATTATATGACATACCAAAATGTTACAACACAGCACCCCTTCCTACAACCCACCTTCCCTTGTCCTAACTTGCAGCCACCTAGCCTATTCCCATTACCGATGTCTAGAACATTGTCTCCACAGAAACCTGACAAAGCTTCATTTATTTTGTCACCTCCTCGTATAGACTATCTGACTAAATATCCCACTAGCGTTGTGTCAATGAAGGATTTACTGTCAAGACATCTGTTGCCCACATGTAACTTAAATTCTTGTTTGTACAGTAATGGAAACATTGGCTACAATGATCCTTTTCATCAGATCAACACCTCTGTTAGAAGATCGATGTGCTTGTCAGACTCAGTAAAAGCTACACCTCATGGGAGTAGTTCCAGTGAAAAAAGTAAGTCGCTAACTAGGAGTAGTGATTCAATTTTTAATGAGAATTCAAGTGAAATTTTCCCTGTTGACGGTGCTACTTATAACAATATGAATGTGAAACTGTCGGAGACATCACCAACGTTATCACCATCATCAAAATTATCGTCTTCCTCCACATCTGTCAATTCTATACAAACACATTTAAAAACAGATCTAAATAAAGCTTCTGATGGTTCAAAAACAGCGGTTAGTTCAATGTCACCAAACAATATTGAACACAATGAACCAGAGAGTGAAATTTACCAAATTCAAAAGAACTTGGATAATTGTTCAAAACTAATCACTGATAATCTACTAAATTCAAATTCATTGTTCAGTGACTTATGGAATTTAATGCCAAATACTGACAGAAATTCAAATCTACACTTGTACTTTTCATTAGTACGTCACCACTTAAATTTGATGCAAAATCAAACATCATAACTAATAATTATATCACGAAATAGTTGTATGGGATCCGGAAAAAAAGCGTAAATCTTTTATGATCTCTTTAAGGCAATCAATGATTAAAAAGTTTGTTTTCTAGAATAAAATATCACCAGATATTTCTTAATCTTCACACCTTTTTTCCACTCGCTACCCTCTGTTTTCTTCAATCTTTGTTGTACATTTAATATACTCTTTTAGAATTGCATTGCATAAATATTTATTCAAACAAATGACATAAATATGGTGTGATAAGTTAAACAAAATTGCAAGCCAATCAACGCATTGACTGATTGAATAGTCGAATAAATCATTTAATATTGACTTCTTACCAATATATTTACATCTAAAAATGATCCATTTTGATTAACTGACTTCATAATTTATAATCATTATCATTATTATCATAATTTTTAATCAAATTTATCAACTAAATAGATAACTAGTATCACATTCAAACTTGTAAAAATATCTCATATAGATTAGTTCTAATTTTTTCCTTTGGAAAGTTGATATTGCATTTCATCACAGAAAGTGTTCTTTTTGATTTTTTCACAAATTGTCACGAGTTAAAAGAGAACTTGAAGTCAATCAGTAAATCTCTGTGTTAGTATGTCCATTTCAGTAGAAAAATGCGCTAGTACATCTTTCTGTAAACTTAAAATAATGCCAACGAACATCCTGAAATCAAATTAGATAAAAGAGTAAGTGGGATTTTTGAAGAATAACAATTGAAAAACAAGAGTGCTTGATTTCTGCATAAGATTAGGTCAATAATGACATCAAGCTTTGAAGTGAAATACTCTGTGCATAAAATCCATCCTAGGGATGTTTATTCAGACATTTACATAATTTAAGATACTTGGTGTTAAATATTAAGAGTTAGACGGAAGGATCCCCTGCTTGATGTAGGTTTCAGGGTACTTGGCACTTATCAGCAGCGCACATCTTCAGTCCTGGGGAAACTGGTGTCTCCTCGGTGACTGGAAATTCTGTTTCTCAGTGATGAAGCCAGAAATGCAGCTACTAAACTACTTAGATCACGACTAGCGTCTATGGAACCGGATTTTGTGCAATAATTCGTCACTAATGGGTAACCGTGGTGTTGTATCATTTAGCTTAGTGGCTACATTGTGAAAACCAGACAGCCAAAACGGTTCGCAACTAGTAACAAATTCGCGGTGTCAGCTTCATAAGCTCATAATATCCGGCATTGCTTTCGTGAATTCCACAGAAAGACAGTAGTCCTAAGTAAACATTATATAACTAGATTTCTAATGAAAATTTCACTCAATCTCCAAAAGCTCCATTAATATAAAAACAAGGCTGACAATTAACTGAGCGTATATCAGTGTATAAAAAGAATATTACTGCCAGAAAAGTAACAAGTACACCTTCGTCAAAACACCTCACCTAGAGACGTTCAATAGGTATTCCCATCATTCATTTCTCATAATGAATCAAAGGACCCTACATTACGTTTGAAGGCTGTTTGTCTCTACCAGATTGACTGTTTTCAGGCTTCAGTTAGATCTAGAACTGTTTTAAGTCCTAGACCATTACAAGTTATATCACTGGAGCTAACTTACCTGTGTTTATCAGAAAAATAATAGGTGGTGTGTTGCTGTTTGATATTCAAGCATCAGATAGTACTTCAGTTATTCTAGGTGGTAGCTCCTCAGTAACATCTTTAAAGACTTATTGATATTGAACTCCAGATACTGCAGCTTTGACTTTTTTGGTATGAAAAATATTTAAAAATTTTTTGAGAGTTTGAGGATCGATATCTACTTCTCTTTCAGATTGAATAGATAACTGAAAAATAGACGTAGACCACATTTACTGTTGTTTAGTCTTTTTGCTCAATTATCTCCTCCTAAATGTTATCGGGAACATATTTTTCTTGACCGTATTCTCACTGACCATCCTCTTTTTCGGAATATTCTGTTTAAGTAGCTGAAGTAACTTGTGAGTATCATCTTGGTGTTGATTCTCTTCCCATTTCGTTGTACTTCCATGTACATGCATGTAGGAACTAATCACTAAGACCGTACAAGTTATTACGCGATGTCTTTTCTAACGAAGATGACTGACTGCGACTGACATAATATTACAAGTTTCAGGCATACCGCTTAGATATTTGTTGATTTGGACCACGGTCGGATTCGAGCCGGCAACCACTAGGTTTCCTGCCCGTTGCTCTACCAAATGAGCTACGAGGTCCAACTGCTGACCAGAATTTTATTTCATTTCAATCACCAATCACTCGGGCAAAATGCTTGGGCAGGTAATCCAGTGGTCGATGTTTCGAGTCCAACTGCGGGCCGGATTTTCATCTCACCTTCAATCACCACTCGATATAAATACTATTCTGCGAAACTACAGCTACTCCAGGTTGTCAAATGATATTTGCTGATTTATCAAAAGCTTTGATAGCAGGTGGAAATCAAGTTACGTTTATTGTAGGCAGCTGTTTGGTGGGAAGGATCTCTCTGGGTTTTTTACCATTTCTATTCAACTGAATTGAGCCAACGCACATTATTATCTTTCATATGTCATGCTGGTCAGTTGAAGCGAGGTCAAACTATCGTAGTGTAGTCCATTTGGGGACTGGCAGTGAAATACAGGATGCGCGTTTCATCCTTTTTTGACTCTTCAGCTGGATATGCCTGCACCTCAGTGAGTGATGGTGTTCCCACTGAGACTTGAACCCAGTACCCATCGCTTTGAACACCAAAGTGACTACGGGTACATGCGGCTAGTGAGTGCCAAATAATAGGACGAAACGCGCACTTTGGATACCACCGCCAGTCACCAAGTAGAGTACAATATTATGAATATGCAGGAAGTATGGAGGTATTCACATAGGGCTCTATCTACCAAAGGAAGTTGAGTAACTCGATCCACTATAGTAGTAAAAGAGATTCACAGGTGTCAATAGTCAGGTGTCAAAACCACTTTTTAAAAGTAAAGTCATATGTAATCCAAATCGACTCCTTGTTTGATATAGGTCTTATGATGAATAGTAATAATCAGGCGCTACAGTTTCAACGTTCGAACCCTCACTGCTTTAAATTTCAGTCACATACCTTTCAATTGAAATGACAATGTTGTTAGTAGTCTATAAAACTAAACCAAGAGTAAATTAGCCTGCCATCTTATGGCAGCCAAAGTTATCCCGTACCAGTTGAAATATTTTTAAACTTTGGTCTTGCGGAACTACATATCCGACCGTCTAATTCACTGAAGTGTGTCATTTGACGCTGATCACCTGATGTCAGCCCTACTGAATCAACAACCAAAGGATGTAGTGGAGAATATTTGTAGCTCAGGTGGATGGTCCTGGTTGTATTGTGTTCCCTGAGCTGGGCTGCTTAGTCGTGCAGCTTTCATCGTCCTTCTAGACGACATCATCAGCACTAACTTCAGTATGAAGTGAGCTGTCAGCTTCTCTCCGTGAGTGATTTTATATCTTGCCTTGACTAAGTGGTCTGTGATTGGTTGTTTCCTTTGATGGTTGCGTCATTCACTGTTGGCTGTTCCTCTGATTCACCTCTGACCTTTCTGTCATTGATCATCTTTCTTATTGGTTGATAGATTGGGTCTATGTCTATACATTTGTTGATTGCTGACTGACTGACTGACTGACAAACTTCTAGGAATTCTCTGACATTCTTTGTGTTTCCTCTCTCCCTCCAAAATTTCCATATTGTCGAAATTGAATTCATGTCCACAGTTATTACCCACGTGGATTGAAATGAGCAGCTATGGAATATCGTGACGTTTATTAGACAATTGGTATTCATGTAGACGAAGGCGAAGAGGGTGATCGCTTTGTCCAATGTAGTGTTGACTACAGCTAGTTATTCCAGTTGATTTTGTAAATGATATTCGGTTTGTCTTCTTTGGTTGTCGCATCCATTAGTGTTTGGAGGGAATTTATTGGGTTATAGGCCCTTTAATTCCACGAAGTGGTTTCAGTAATCTTGTCGTGATTTCTGATATATATTCTTTATGTATGGTGGGACGATGCGTTTATTGATTTCTGTCGATGACTTTGTAGTTGATGATGCACGGGATAGGCATCTTCTGATGGAGTTTCGTGGGTAGCCATTCTTCTTTAGGGTGGACATCAAATAGTTTCCTTCCTTTCTCTCTATCTTGAATAGAGTCTGCACGCAACTGATCTTATGCGTTGTTGGGTTGTTGCTATTGTAGTTGAGGATTTGGTCAGTGTGTGTTGGCTTCCTGTACACTTGGGTTTCCAACTTTCCGGCTTTTGTTCTGCTGTCTAAAACATCCAGCAATGGTAGTTGGCTGCTTGACTCCTTCTCCATTGTGAATTTGCTGTCACTGAAAACGTCGTTGATCAAATTGTGGGTGTTTTCTATATCATCTTTTTTAATCATGAAAAAAGTGTCGTCCACATAGCGAATCCAGAATTTTGGTTTGATCGCAGGTAAGATGATGGTTTCCAGTCTCTGTATAACTGCTTCTGCAATTAGTCCGGATATCGGTGATCCCATTGGAGCTCCTTTCATCTGTTTGTATGTCTTGCCGTTCAATTGGAAGTATGTTGTCAGACAAAGGTCAATGAGTTCCATCAGACTTGAACATTTAGGATTTGTGCGTTCAGTAAGGCTTGTGTCCTCATAGAGCAGAAGGGACGTAGTTTCGTTCATGTCATCTAGAAGGACGATGAAAGCTTCACGATTAAACAACCCAGCTCAGAGAACACAATACAACCAGGACCATCCACCTGAGCTACAAATATTCTCCACTACATCCTTTGGTTGTTGATTCAGTAGGGCTGACATCAGGTGATCAGCGTCAAATGACACACTTCAGTGAATTAGACGGTCGGATATGTAGTTCCGCAAGACCAAAGTTTAAAAATATTTCAACTGGTACGGGATAACTTTGGCTGCCATAAGATGGCAGGCTAATTTACTCTTGGTTTAGTTTTATAGACTACTAACAACATTGTCATTTCAATTGAAAGGTATGTGACTGAAATTTAAAGCAGTGAGGGTTCGAACGTTGAAACTGTAGCGCCTGATTATTACTATTCATCATAAGACCTATATCAAACAAGGAGTCGATTTGGATTACATATGACTTTACTTT